CTACAGGAGGAAACCTAAACTAAACTAACTTTATTTTTTCTGGATAGCTCTATCATTTCTAAACTGTTCTTCCTAGAGGTCCAGTAAGGATCATCTCTTATTGATCCAGTGATACTACAGGAGGAAACCTAAACTAAAATAACTTTATTTTTTCTGGATAGCTCTATCATTTCTAAACTGTTCTTCCTAGAGGTCCAGTAAGGATCATCTCTTATTAATCCAGTGTTACTACAGGAGGAAACCTAAACTAAACTAACTTTATTTATACTGGATAGCTCTATCAGTTCTAAACTGCTCTTCCTAGAGGTCCAGTAAGGATCATCTCTTATTGATCCAGTGTTACTACAGGAGGAAACCTAAACTAAACTAACTTTATTTATACTGGATAGCTCTATCAGTTCTAAACTGTTCTTCCTAGAGGTCCAGTAAGGATCATCTCTTATTGATCCAGTGATACTACAGGAGGAAACCTAAACTAAAATAACTTTATTTTTTCTGGATAGCTCTATCATTTCTAAACTGTTCTTCCTAGAGGTCCAGTAAGGATCATCTCTTATTGATCCAGTGATACTACAGGAGGAAACCTAAACTAAACTAACTTTATTTTTTCTGGATAGCTCTATCATTTCTAAACTGTTCTTCCTAGAGGTCCAGTAAGGATCATCTCTTATTAATCCAGTGTTACTACAGGAGGAAACCTAAACTAAACTAACTTTATTTTTTCTGGATAGCTCTATCATTTCTAAACTGTTCTTCCTAGAGGTCCAATAAGGATCATCTCTTATTGATCCAGTGATACTACAGGAGGAAACCTAAACTAAAATAACTTTATTTTTTCTGGATAGCTCTATCATTTCTAAACTGTTCTTCCTAGAGGTCCAGTAAGGATCATCTCTTATTGATCCAGTGATACTACAGGAGGAAACCTAAACTAAAATAACTTTATTTTTTCTGGATAGCTCTATCATTTCTAAACTGTTCTTCCTAGAGGTCCAGTAAGGATTATCTCTTATTGATCCAGTGATACTACAGGAGGAAACCTAAACTAAACTAACTTTATTTTTTCTGGATAGCTCTATCATTTCTAAACTGTTCTTCCTAGAGGTCCAGGAAGAGATATCTCCCAATGGTCCAGTGTTACTACAGGAGAAACCTAAACTAACTGTCAATTTTATTTATACTGGATAACTCTACCAGTTCCAAACTGTTCTCTCTTGACCCAGTAAGGATCATCTTTACTGTCTCAATGTTAACCAAGCGAAAACCTGTGGCGTTTGGTAAAGTCAAACTGGAACCATTCTTCTCACATGTGACTGAAGTGAAATTATAATATAGCAGAAATCGGACCTCAGTCACAAAAGAGAAAGGTACATGCATTAGCCTCCAGAATGAAGGCATACACGACATTCAAAGATATCATGTGTTATTACCTCAACAGTCAATTCAAAAAAATCAATGCCCACGTCTCTGTCAATAGTTGAGTTGATATAAATTGTTCCTGTGGAGTTGTCTATCTTGAAGTAATGGTTGTCGTCACCTTCAAGAAAAACAGAAACTCGTAGGTAAGATACAAACTGTTTAAGTTAAAATCTGACAGATCAACCGACAAACGAACGTAGCAATGATAATACTCTACCTTCAACAATGACATATTCCACAGGCTTATCAATCCCTCGATCGCCATCAAATGCTTTGGTTTGAACAACTTTGGTATCCTAACAACAAATATGTGACTTAATTGCAGTAAACGAGCAAAAGTAAAACTCAACGAGATCATATTCTAAACAATCGAGGTAATATTCTAATTAATCGAGGTAACATTCAAATCAATCGATATAATTTTCTAATCAATCGAGATAATATTCTAATTAATCGCTACCTACCACAGGATCGTTTTCATCAATATCAGCACGGTAAGAAGATTTCTCAAACTCTGGAGGTTGGTCACTTTGATCTTCGACTTTGACAACTAGCGTTGTTGTCGAATTCAATGACGGAATGCCACGATCCTGAACGATATAGGAGGTTTTATCAGTTCTTAACTTTTCATGCTAGAGGTCCAATACTTCTTTCTTCATTACTGGTCCCGTGTTACTACAGGAAGAAACCTAAACTAAACTAACTTTATTTATACAGGATAGCTCTATCAGTTCTAAACTGTTCTCTCTAGAGGTCCAGTAAGGATCATCTCTTATTGATCCAGTGTTACTACAGGAAGAAACCTAAACTAAACTAACTTTATTTATACAGGATAGCTCTATCAGTTCTAAACTGTTCTCCCTAGAGGTCCAGTAAGGATCATCTCTTATTGATCCAGTGTTACTACAGGAAGAAACCTAAACTAAACTAACTTTATTTATACTGGATAGCTCTATCAGTTCAAAACTGTTCTTCCTAGAGGTCCAGTAAGGA